GATCTCTCGAGTTTTATAAAACGATCTCTCGAGTTTTATAAAACGATCTCTCGAGTTTTATAAAACGATCACTCGAGTCTTATAAAACGATCTTCGAGTTCTTATAAAACAATCTCTCGAGATTCATAAAACTGCTGCGTTTACGCGTTTGCGGGGAATTTCGGCTATTGATTCCGTCGTACCGATTTTGACCCCAACACCCACTTGGTACCTTTTTCTACTCTTCTTTCCTTGCTCATCCCCTTCATCAACGGCCTCGTCCTCCACCTCATCTTCCTCCCTTCCACGTCCTCATCATGTTCTTCAGATTTCTCATCATCATCGTCCATCTCAAGGTCATCACGTCAACGACTTCATCATTACACCATGAAATAAAATGCGATATGATTTTCTCTATAATGGTTAGTTTACAGATTAAGCAGTTGACAGATTTAAATCTTATAACTGAACTAAAGAGAAAAGAGACCTGAAGAAGAAATAAGAAGGTGTAGACCTGGTGTCAAAGTTGTGCTTCATTTGGCGATGGAGTTCTTCAGCCTGTGCAATAAAAACCTATTAACACATACCGCATTTTAAAGTACTAAATCAAATATTAAAATTTCTTTTGGGATGGCCATTCCTATCCATCATCAAGATCATCGACATCCTCAGGAATTTGAGGTGGGCTGAAGAAGTTGCAGAAACTCTCAGTCTTCAGTCTAAGTGATTGGCTTTGTTTTTTTGGGTCCCTTCGTTGACTTATTTTTAGTGATATAACCTTCATAATGGTGGACAATTGTTAATGATCCATAAGACTTCTTTGTCTTGTGAAACAAAAACATCAAACACAAAATAAGAGCTAAAGATCATACCCAATGGCTTTTTCAAGCATGTGCTCATCTTCTTCAAGACGTGAAGATAAACTCAAGCTTGAACTCCTTTCTTTCTGCAATCCTATTACATTTGATACTGCTAAGATATTTAAGAGCACTTTTATCTTGCTAGGTTATTTAGAACCATGGGGAACAAAAATAATGTAAAATATAGGGCCGTCTTTGGGCATGTGCCCAGAGTACAATTGCACATGGTCCATAACATTTCACCAAAAATTTAGTTAGTAACTAGGGATATTTTTAAAAACACTTATGGCCCTTTTTCTAAATTCTTTTGGTTATTATTAAAATATATTAGTTTTGATAACTGTAACAAAACAAAGGGAAACCACCGGAATCACTTTCTGAGTTTTGAGTTTTATGTAAACCCACTTTACCCACTTGGTACCTTTTTCTACTCTTCTTTCCTTGCTCATCCCCTTCATCAACGGCCTCGTCCTCCACCTCATCTTCCTCCCTTCCACGTCCTCATCATGTTCTTCAGATTTCTCATCATCATCGTCCATATTAATTTTGCACAGGGCCTCATAAAATATGAGACGGGCCATACCATTGCCCTTTCACTTGTGTCGGCTCTTTCAGATTAATTACGTGTGAAAATATTTATTAGTAATCTTTAGTGTTGTTTTTTTGTGGTTTGAAAAAATGTTTGGTCTCTTATGCGTAAAACTCTTAACCATGACTCAGTTTTTTTAGAAATATGTCGTTGTGCGTTCTGTTCCCATCTAAACTATTCCTTCAACTTGATTCACCAATAGAATCAAGGTAATCTTGAAGACCAACATTCCTAGTCATGTTAACATCTAAGTTCACTTTCTGAAGAACAATTTGAAGATCCATAACCATTGCAACTTTCTAAATAGATTTGAAGACATTTTTGACGTCTTGGACAGTAAAAATGACACATATCAAAGATTTAGATACTTCGTATTCAAAGAAAATTTTATTTTTTTGGTGGTCAACTAAATTTATTTATTTATTATTATTTACATTATAAATATTCATTGAAATTGTAATAATGAAAAAAGGGAAACCTAAAAATGTCTCAGAATTTGAGTCCATTGTAATTTTTTTTTACATTCCTTGAGAAATTTTGGTGAAGCTTACAGTCTTACAAAAATCATGATATATTTGCTTCATCAACAAATACAACAGTTCCTGCAACAATCACTGAATCAAAATCAGATTCTCATTGTTTGCATTTTCATAGATTATTAGTTACTTTTTTTTGGCATCGATTATTAATTACTTAGTTTTCCAAATTAGTAAGAATGTAATTTCCTTATTATGAAAAATTTCATCATAAATCATTTTGTTTTAGATAAGCCCCTCCAACCATGTCTCTTCAGTTCAAATACCTATCACACTGCACACATTAAAGAAACATGTTGTTTGCTTATCATAACACTATTTCATCAGAAAATTTGCAAGTAAACACAATTTGACTGACAAATATTTAGATCTGGGAAAGAGAGGGCGAAGAGAAAACAACTTACTCAGAATAGCGCTCATAGGCTCATAGCCCACATATGTGAAACACGATAAAAATTAGACCATTATTAAGACATGGACCAATACTATATTGAAAGACTTATTTTTATTGGAATTTTGAGAACACTAACCAAATTTTGACGTGTATCTATATGACTGTAGTCGGTACTTCTGTGCCATGTACCTATTAGAAATTAATAGCAATCACAATCAGCTCATGTATCATCTAACTACAATTTGAATGATTGTAAGGACTCATTCATACTGATTAGAGAATTGAACCTTACCAGTGTTGTCTGAGACATACTCTGTATATGGTGGACCTCCCGGGCAAGGTCATCAGGGGGTATCCTCATCATAGTTACCTGAGGACACCAACAGCGTTTATATCATCACATGCAATGCAGAAAGAAACAACTCGCTGGAGCTTCTTTGAGAACCTGGAGAAAGAAATCTAACACCAGACGTTGTCCGTGTGAACTACTGTAAATTCTTTGTGATTCATGAATGTACAGCTAGTGAAAACAATTAGTGGCAAACATTTATACTGGTCACAAAATTTGGAGATTTTCGTCACACCTGAGGCTGTGATTTGATGACATGACCATTGAAATTACTTTTGAATGGTTCTCATATACAAGCGCAGAGGTGCCATTCAGATACAATCTCCTGAACATAAATATGACGTTATGTTAATATGATGCTTAGTTCTATTGCATACGCATTCGACTAACTTGAACATCCCTATTGTTTTCAAGAAACAAGAAATTACAGAAGAAACAAATATAATCTCATATTGGTTAATTCATCTTGTTACAAAATTCTAAAATACACAAATATAGTTCAACATAAGTCTTACATTAAGAGTGGCAGATCTAGAGAAAACCTGAAGGAGTGATTATCACTTTGAACCAAATCATCAAACAGAGAACAAAGCTGGAACATTCCCTCTGAATGATTAAACCATGTTCATTACAGCGGAACAACCTCTGTTACTTTCAATCATTCGACAAATAAAAAAAAAATCAAACAAATATATTCCAATACAGACCTGCTCGTCGATGAGCAGCACTTCTAGACCAATAAGTGTCTTCGTGAGTGGATTCTGAGCCTCCCAAAAATGTATCAGACGAAACCTCAATTCAAATTCGTGTCGTCCGAGATCCACACCTCTGAAGGACGAAACTGCATCAGACTTGTCCGATGCCATGACGTTTCGTGTACCTAGCTTCACCGGCGACGGCGTTGGCGTGGGAGACACGAGTTATGCCTCTTTTTGGGCTAGCTACGTCGGAGGAGTCACCGGTTTCAGACGTATGGTTCACAGGATCGCCGGCGGAGTTAATTAACTTCTTCGAGGTAAGATCGCTGGAAACAGAGATGTTGCTGTTGGAATTCATCGCGTTTGAGATTTCTGAGAGTATAGAAACATTTGGAAAATGACCGATATAAATAGAATGAGATTGAGGAAGGCAAAACGAAGCCATTAAAGAGGGATCGAGGAAGGCAATACAAAGACATTAAAGAGGAATTCATGGCAAAGAGATGGATTGAATGGGTGGTGGTGATGAAACGATTTCGACTAAGAATTTCAATCGGTGATGAAGAGGAAAATTGAACAACAAACATTGGCAAAAATTAGGGTTGACACGGCCAAACAATTGGGCCAATTGGGCCGTAAAAACAAACAATCAGAAACTCAAAAAAATAAACAAAAGCCCATTTTGTTTTCTAATTATCTGATCCGACGTGGCATCACCACAGTTGAGAGTATTCAACTTTTATTATAGTACTGATACATAGATGATGATGGTTTTATCTACTTGACGGATTAATAACTAAATGGCTAGCTTATAGTTCTGGGTCTAAACCAATATGTCTCTAGTGTAGCTTTTTTTTTTTTTTTAAAAAGAATTAATATTATTCTTAATAAACAAACATATCAGTACAAACTCCAGTTTATTTAATGGGCTCCAATATGGGCAGAGTGTAACAACCCGCTCCCATAATATTTTTGTGTAAAAATATATTCTCAATAAGAGGTTTGATTGCAACGCAACAATATTTTCATAAGAGTTGGAACACTTGTATTCGATATGAAATAATTAAGAAGTTGATTTTTCTTTAAAGTATTGGATGTCCCTTGTTAACCAAACGATATGGACTTAGACTATATAACAACAAACAGATCATAAAGCACCAAGTCTAAGTAGGGGAATAAAGGACTGCAAGTCTAACCAAGTATTCGGCGAGTGGAGAGTGCAGGTTCCAAGTAAGGAAACTCTGAACAAGTATCAGTGGCGGGATTATACGAAGGAAGGTCGGGACTGCTGGAGTCATATAACGAAAGAAGTGTAGAGATTCTTCAAGCCTTGTTTGGTGCCAGAGTACACATTGAAAGAGCACTAAATACCTGGCTTGGTGACCAAGTCCAGAAAGGGGTATAAAAAGAGAGCTTCAACTCTCATTTGTAGACACAACTCAAAAAAGAGTCTAGAGAGAATTCATAGCTTAAACAACCTTCTAGAGAGACAAGTTCGAGAAGGAGGATCAAATGAGGAGAAGCAAAGGAGTGTTCGCCGGAAAAACGCTAGAAAGTTCAGAGTTTTTGAATCCTTGAGATGCAACTAAGGTGAGGATGTGATTCGTGGTAACTCAATAGCATAGATATCAGCAAACTAGACCTGGATATTCTAGCATGTATGAATGAATGTTGGGAATGAGAAGTCAAGTCCAAAGTTTATTAACAAGTAGTTGGTGCCGGAGTAAACATTGAATCGATCAGATTATCAGTAGCATTGGTCGAGAAATTGCTTCTTCGATAGATTGGAAATGATTGCAAAACGCTGGAATGGAAAGACGGCAAATGATGTCGAGAGAATAACCAAATAGCATGGTATAGAAGGACAAGTAATGTTAAGCTGCTTGGGATGTGCTTCCATTTGAAATTGACGTTTGTAAAATAT